CACACACACACACACACACACACACACACACACACACACACACACACGAGCATGTAAACAAACAAGACCAGCACATCTTTCTACAAATGCAAAACATACAATGAAAGTCAAACAGACACTCTGCGTAGTGTCACATGCAGCATGAACTGCCAGTAGTGGAAGAAGTACTCAGATCCTCTACCAAAGTAAAAGTCCTGCATTTAGGCTTTACTTAAGTAAAAGCACATATTTATTAGCTAAATTACACAAAATGCACAAAACAAAATAATTATTATTGCACGGCAAGTTACAACCTTGTCCTTCCTACTGGCGACCTCACATGAATCGTAAGGAACTACTAACTTTAGACACATTTAGTGGAGTAAAAAGTACAATAGAAGTAAAGCACCATCAATTATAAAAGTAGAGGAAAGTGACTTTGTGTACACTAGTCTCTCAAAAAGTAACGATAATCATTTTGAGATGTTCTTCAGATGAAATCCTGAATTAATTCAAATAAACTGATTGGCTGAATCTTATTGTACTACATTAATAATTCTACTAACTTAACTAAAACTATAGTGGTGGGGGCTTAAAACTATTGGAGCAGTAAAAGGTTACTGAAAACTACTCGGGGACAGACTGAATGTGAAAACAAAGGACCATAAAACCAGCCAGACTGAAGCCCACCACTTCAGTTTTCGGGGGTTGTGCAGAGATAAAGTAAAGACTCGGTCCAGTATCCTCTGACCACTGATCCATAACGTTAGAAAGTAGCAAGTTATCGTAACGGCATTCCTGAGTTTTACAAATGTGTCGGCTAATTGCAGGCTGTCTTGTTAAAGTTAACGATTCCACACCTTGTTAAACATGACGAATAGACACATTTCTGTGGCGGAGGCAGCAGTGATCTGTTTTTACTAAGACGACACATCGTTCATTGAGTGCGACACTAAATAACAAAAATGGTTTCAAATGGAAGAAAAGAAACAAAGAAAATTCAAAATCAACAATTTATTTTCTGTCTCCGTAAAGATTAGTTCACTATGACGAACATTTACAGGAATTGTAACAGGGACAATACTGGGAGGAGGATTCAACATCTCCGTTGTACAAGAGAACATATTTCAGCTTCTCTGTGGTTCACCAACTATTCCAGAGGCACTCTAATGCAACGCAACGCAGCAATCTCTTGACTAACACTCAGGAAAATAATACTAACACTGGACAGAACGACTGAAACACAACGACCATCTGCTCGATACGTCACCGACCGTGGACGCTTGTGCTTCCACACACATCAGGGAAGTAAAAGTACAAAACTATAAAATGCCTTTTTTGTAAATAGATAGTGGAAAGTTTAAATCATTATGTTCCAACAGCACATCAGAGATGCAACCATTAATGTGTCATGGATGACGGCCGATTGAATATCATCTTTATTGGCAAACACCACACGGTAACGTACACGGCTGTGGATGAATCTTCAGGACGCATTACCGTCTGACATCCTGACTTTCTACTGGGCTCAAGTGCAATAACTGGTCCGAACTCTGGCATCGTGTACATTGTAACTATATGGCTTACAAGGTAAACAGGTCCATATAAACTAGAAAGGTACAGAGACACCTTTCGTTAATCAAAACTATGGTACAGCAATATATTGGCAAAATAAAAACTAAAGAGCTAAGTAATGTTATGTAAACAATGGTAAACCACTGTACAGCTTATCCTAACATGGTATTTACAGGTCAAGTTCTTTTACTAGCTAGTTCCCATGTACAGAGGGTCAAATGTAAAGAAAGAACAGTTAGACGACGGACTGTATGTTAGGCAATTTCAACCGTCCCATCTACGTGCAAAGAACCAGATTCAAAGAGAGTAAACCCAACAAGCAGCTTTTACATCTACAGACTTGCTGAATTACCCGGTGCCTTCCTCCTCCTACATTTAGAGTTATTTCTACAAAAAAAACAAGAACATACATAAGGCGAGGGCAGTTAAGGAAGGTGGAGGCATCACATTCTTTGCAAGGGATTACTGCTATGGGACAGGTTGATGGTTCTTTGGGGTAAATGCACTTTTCGAGAGTTTCACTTATTTGTCACGTGTAACAAAAAAAACAACCGCATCCGAGTGCAACGAAGGGGACATGTCTAGTTCTGTCGGGAAAATGTGCAAAATCTGCTCTAAAGCAAAGTGACAGTGTTGCAAATTCTAATATACAAGGTACTGGGAGATGTACGGGGTGCAGACCCTTATTCCAACATACTGTATATACAAGGCACTAAGGAAAAGATTCAAGGGCCACACATCCAGTCTTTTGACCGCCTCCTCAGTCCGGTCGGAATATAGGATATTTCGGTAAGAAATCTATAAGAATCACCTGTAGAGAGAGAACAATACAAAACAAACATTTAAAACGACTGCAAGATGTTTAAACATAATGGTAATGTTATATTGTATGAGTGCTGTCCTTACATACAGATAACCATGCAATTCAGTATTAACACAGACAGAGGAGACAGAATTTTGACAAAGCAACCCTGTCTGCTAGAACTAATGTTTATGTCCAACTCATGTGCAACAGCGTTTAAGGTTTAAAGGAAACGTAATAAAGACCGTATCCGAAACTATTTCGATTTCAAGCAAAAATGCCACACATGTGCTGGCTCTAGCTTCCCAAATATGAGCATTTGTTGCCTGTCTTTGCAATAAGTATATGATAGTAAACTAAATATATTGTGTTTTAGACTGTTGGTCATACAAAACCAGACATGTAAAGCCACTACCTTGGGCTTTGGGAAACTCTAATGGAGACTCTTTACGATTTTATAACACAATTGATCGATTAGTCAAGAAAATAATCTGCAGATTAATTAAATCGCTCATGAATACAATCAAAAGGTTTGTAGAGTTGTGCAGTAATCTAATAATTCATAGCGTTTTTGTTGGGACGGCCTACTTACATATTCCATCATATTACTGCTTTCACATTTTCTTTTACTGAGTTTCCAGTGCAGCCCGAGCTGAAAGAAGAAAAGACACAGACACAATGAATGAACATCTCTCCCACTCTCAAACAGACACAAAGACACACGCACACACACACACACACACACACACACACACACACACACACAGGAAAATCTGTCTGAAATTTTCCCTTCAGTGTCGGGGGAATTTAGGAGCAGGGCTGTCTGGTCTCGCCGGGGTCAAATAGTTGCCAGACACCCTGAAGAGCTTCCTTTATACCTTTGCACAGCTACTAGCTGTAATTTGTTGCTGAGAGACAAAACAAAATAACACAGCATTTTACTGCCAACCTCACGGTCCTCTCAGACCTCGAGCACCAGATCTGACTCAGCTTTAAAAGGACTAGTGTGGCAGGTTTGGGTTTCCAAGAAAGATTAATTGTCATTATCCATCATGATGATACTCAACTTGCACTGCACAGTGGCACAGACAAATAGGCACTTTCACACAGGTGCTAATCTGCAATTTGTCATCCTTACCTTGTGGTATAATCTGTTATTTTCCCACTCTAACAATTTATGAATCGACCGTCTTGTCTGTTGGAATAGAAAACAAATGCATGTACGTTAATGCAATCGTCATCACTCAAATGAACACTTTAACAGGTAACAGTAAACGGCCACAGTGTTAGGATTTATGGACTGAACTCCCGATTTACCAGCTAGTAATTTCCACTTTGTTGCCGTCAACTCTGAGTGGTAGTACCACCTTCAAATGACACACCCTTGAGCTGGGCAGGAGAGGAGCTCTGCAACGTAATGCGTCATTTCTACACAGAGCCACTAATTGAACACGAGTTGTTATTACCCTCTACACTTAGACCAATGCGGCTGAATTGCTATAACAGCCCCCCGAGTAATCAGCGCTGATGTAAAGGAGAGTTAAACTGTCCAACAGTCACAGGAGGTGTGGAACTTACTCTCTTGTTGAGGCAGATAACAGGCCATAGACTGCAGCCTACTGTACAACAGCAGCACAGGCAGCCGCAGAGAAGCCACTTCACATTCACCGGCAAGTTCTTCTTCAGACAAGCATTCAGCCTGCTGATGCTGGTTTTGAATTCCTCTGGTGCTACCTAGAAGAAAAGAGAGATGGGATGGATGTGCGTGCACCAACGTAAACAGCTCCTAGAGCCTCTATGCGGTGGAGGGAATTATCACAAAATTGAGGCAATAACCAAATTACTAAACACAAGAGGGGGAGAGACAACTCAAGTGTTTGTAGGTGGCGTTGACATGAAATATTCCTAATTGGAAAGATCCAAGAGCTTGAGAGAAAACCAACAGGTAGATAATTGCAGATGTTGTCCAGAGATGAGATGAGATCTCTAAATAGCATGTCTGTGATTTGCTAACCAAGCACCAGACTGTTCAAGGCAAAGAGGGACTCAAAGGAGAGATAAACTCAGAGCCTGTGGCAGCGCCGGCCAAACAACTTGAATGGATGCTCATTCCTCGCCGAGTCTGTACGCCATAAAACAGGGGTCGTAATCTTTTATGACAGGATGCAAAGGTCTCTTTGCAAACAGCCAAAGACCTCAGAATAAAGCCCAGCAGGGCCTGATCTGCACCCTTCAATCATCATAATTGTGACCTCATCCATCACATGTCACCCTGGGTCACAATACTGAAGGTACTTTTTATTGCCCCACACTTCCCTCGGCCTGCTCTTACCCCTGCAGCCTTTTTGTGTTTCTGCGTCCGACCCAGGAAGCTTTCCTTTCTTGTCTACAGCAGAGTCTTCATTTCATTATTTTATCACCGGGAACTGGACTCTCAAAAACACTGGGGTCCCCACCAACTGAGCCCCATAGACGGCTTACTCATTTACAGAGCTGGACAGCAGCACATTCAGCCTCTTTTGTATACACCTTGGTGCGTCGCTTGAAATGCAGCTCCGGCAGATCAAAACCACTCAGAGAGGTTTGAATGGGGTGGTTTGGGGAAGTAGGGGCTATTAAAGGAACAACTGGTTCACTGTGGCTTTAATTGCTTCATTCTTCCCACTTGGAATTGAAGCAGCTCGCAAGAATGAAGTGCAAGAAAACTAAAAAAGAAGCGACTGTACCTTTCCCGTGAGAACAGAGGGGAATTCTGTGTCAAATCTGTTGCTCAGTCCAAACCTGTAAAAAGACAAACAAAATGTGAACATTGATAAGGTAATACAAGTCAAAATAACATGTGCTATGACTATGAACATGTTAGAACAAATATAATCCAAAGCCAGAGTAGAAATACGTTGTGTGATAATGAGACAGAGCAAACTATACAGTTTTTTAAAGTTTAGTTCAGTTCGTTACACTACACACATCTGAAGGATGGCACAATAGACTTTTCTTCTTCTTTAAGAGAGTCTAAACATGCAGGAGTCCAGATGACTACGCTTCACATTCCCAACAAACCAATACAATAGATTATTATCAGTAAAATCACTTCAAGTCGCAAGTCCCAAAATATAAACAACAGTTAACGACTAGGATAAGCTAACAGCTCCAACCTTCCTATGAGCCATGATGCTTTGTTTTACAGCAGCAGACAGTTAAACCTGCAGACTTGATGCGACACTCACGTGGCTTTTGTGTGATTGCTCTTAGTAATTAAAGTGGACGATATTGCTGTTACTTGTATTTAGCTTTAGCAGCAAATTGCTTATGTTTGCATGTCTTTCCTGGAAAGGTCAACGCTCTATAGAAACAATACGCATGTGAAAAGTATAACAGATACTATTGAGTTTAAAAACGGACATCCTCATTATTTTTTTGTCCCGTTGAAGGTCTCAGCATCTGCTAGTCAGGTGAATGGTATGGCGGGGGTGAGGGAGGATCTGACGATGATGACAGTGATTTTCATCTTTTGCATTTTAAAAAATAAATAAAATTCACCTCACTATTGTGCCTACATGACGTGCTTAAAGCTCTAACGTTAGTTTCCCCTGATAAAGTACAATAAAATGAAGCTAAGGACCTAAACAAATATGAAACTCGCAGTAGAAACGCTTCAGACAATAATAAAGCCGGTGACATTGTGTTGACTTGGTAGATAACGTTAACTTTCAAATGTCTGGTGATGGTGCATTAGTCTAAACGTTACAGCCACAGACTTCTAGCTAACAAAACATCACATGTAAACTTGCCTAACCCCTAAATATCGCTTGCTAGTCTGCCACGTTCATGTTTGCCATGTGGATAAATAACAGTTATCGTTAGTTTATGTCGTATTAATGTTGGGTTACTACGTTCATGATCAAATCGACGGTCCCCTTTGACAGAACGTGTGGCTAACTGTTAGTTGTTGTGTTTAGCGTTAGCTAGCATGCTAGCATCAGCTAACCAGGCTAAAGGATGAAGACAACAGAGCGACAGACAGGGCCGTGCTTACACGGTGATGTGCCCGGCACCTCGCATCACCACGGGCTCCGGACAGTATCTCGGCAGGTGCTCCTCACTCACTACGTGGTCATCCTCTTCGTCTTCCAACTCATAAATGGTATCAAAGTCCGCCATGTTGGGTAGTAAGACGCTCATGACGTCTGCTACGGCGGGGCTGCGCACTGACGCACGAGCGGGGCGCGCGGAGCCGAAAGTTTGTGAACAGCGATGATCGCCCCTCGGTGTGCAGCGGGACCAGAGCTGAACATTATCAACACATCTAACATCTGACGTTAGTGAGACATGCCAGATATAGATAATAGTAATCTAATGACCCCATGACATGTCTGTTTATAATATATTACATATCCCTACAGTTGGCAGGGAATTAACTTCTTCAGACATGGACATGGGGAAAAGTCAGGAAACTCCTGCTCCCAAAAATAGTCAGTCTAGCCACATGACAATTAACATGTCACCTCAGCTAATTACACATGATCATACACTATGAACCCCTTAAGCCTGAACCTGCCTCACCACATAAAGGTGCAGAAGTCCATCTTAAATGTGTCCACGTGGAGCCCATTAGGTGTAGATTCTCTGACATTGAATACTAAATAAAAGTGCACCTACTGATGACATACTACCCGTTTTGACATATGTTAAAAAGCTAAAAGAAATGCCATTCTATCTAACAAGAACAAAACAAAAACATAAGTTTAACTACTGGTTGGTTTTAGGTCAAAAGTGAGGTAATTTCACACTTAATGTGATAACAAGTCTGGTTATTTTGCTGCTCTGGAAATGAGCCTTTTGTCCAAATGAAAAATAGATGCTTTCAATTACCATGTCACTATACTTCTAGAAATAGCCTGTTGGTACAGGTCCAAACATTTGTAATTCTGTCGACAGATCTTTATGCGGATTGTATTGATAATAATAGGTTTTTAAAATCATCTTTAGGATTTCAAACAAGCATTACAATAAAAGTCACACAGTTACTTTGAGATGTTAATTTCTGAAAGGTTTAAACTGTTTTGTGCCTGCATTTGTAACTGTAGTATCCCAAGAGGAAGAGAAGCTTAAATGCTCTATATCTGTATTGGTAATAAGCACATAAAAGCATTTCAAATACAAAACTTATCCAAGCTTTGCAAATACCCAGAAATAACAAAAATGACAGGTGTACTGCAAAAACAACATTTTATTTACATTTTGCCATCACACGACCCGTATCATTAACAGCTGGTCCCTGCTTTACTAAAGCAGATCAGATTGTGCTGAAAAACGTTTGTAAATGATTTGTCCAGTCATAGCAGTTTGTGTGGCACGAGCTACATAAAATCCAGCTTAAAACTTCATTAAAATGTCCCTGAATTATCATTTTATTCACATACACTTCATCACATACAAAAAAAAAAAGGATATTTATATCTTAACTCACAAACAATTAAAAGCTTTTAAGTTTGAAACACGTCGATTTTTTCTTTTTTCTTTTTTCTTAAATTCCCACGTTATTAGAACTATTCTATAAAAAGTAATATGTCAAGAGCCTCCATTTGGTTGCTATGAATGAAATCTTTATCCACAGCTTTGTGCTTCAGGACGTGAGTTCAGATCCTCTGGCTGCCTATCAAGTGTCCTGTCAGCGTGTCGGAGTGCTCAGTTATGTTCGATGGTCCGAGAGGTGAACTGCTCTACTGAGTCACAGTCACTTGTTGTATATTCCTGATAGATGGCAAGGTGTTCATTCCCTGAGGAGGGTACATAGAGTGTTGGATGTCTGAGGGACTGAGTGAGCCCGGCACCGGCAGAGGGCTCACGGAACCCGGGTCGCTGTGCACAGATCCCCCGCTGCCGTCAGACTGACCCAGCTTCTTCTTGATCAGTTTCCTCTCTTTGGCTCTGCGGTTCTGAAACCAGATTTTAACCTGAAGTGGCACAAAGAAAAGGGAATGAAATGAATATCATTGGGTGCAGGCTACATCCTTTACTTTCCATGCAATGCCATAACACTTAATACAAAATAATAAACAACATTTATAAATAGGATTCTCCCGGATAGAAAATGTGAAAAATGATTACAACAAAAAATGAACATTAAATACATGTTTAATATAATATAATAATATATTTTCTTAGGTCTTAAATGAAATAAATTAAAAAGATATGCCTATATAGACAATACAACTTACATTAGCGTTGAATGTATTTTCTCGTTTATTCGACCGCTCCTTACCAAAATAAAATGTAATGATTGCCTATTATCAAATGGATACTACATTTAAACAATACCCACATTGAATATTTGTACAATGAATAAATGTACGTAATTAGTAATTCATTTTGCTGTAAAATATAAGATTCGAAATAAGAGGAAATGATCGATAACACATGTTTGTGTTCTTAGGATTTCATTATCAAACATATAATAATTAATTAATAGAAATACAGACAAGGTATCAGGAGTTGAGGTGTCTTTAAATAAATCCAGTGTAATGTATTCATGACTGTAAATATGCAGAGCGTTATCCTGATGATAAAATTGACACGTTTTCTGCAGGGCTCATTTTGTAAGTTACACGTGTGAACATATTTTAATGAGTTTCCATTATTGCTCATACATTTAGGCTGAATGTTTCGTATATTTAAATGTCGTATTGCATCTTTCTGCGATGAAAATAAACCAGGCAGAATTACTTTACTGATTTAGACATACCTGTCGTTCTGACAGACCGAGGTTGAGAGCCAGTTCAGATTTCCTCCTGATGGTGATGTATCTGTTGAAATGAAACTCCTTCTCCAGCTCCAGCCTCTGATGGTCTGTGTAAACTACCCTGTATTTCTCCTTCGTTCTTGTTTTACCTGCGAAGGCGACAAGGAAGAAATCACACAGCATTGATATTGTGCTTCTTTCTTTTGAGCAGCCGGGCGGTTGAACAGAGGAGGCTGCATGCCAGGACAGGCCTATCTGCACATGGCATCTTTATTAGCTGCCTCTTAAATCCACATCTCTGCTTTCTATACAGATACGCAAATTGAGCTTTTTCATCTTGCTTTGATGACAGCTGTAGTACAGTGGATTTCAAACAGCCAACTATCAGATCCTCTACTGACAAGTTAAAAAGAAACACACGGCGCAGGACGATAGGACAAACGTCTGTGGAGTTGATGCACTGTTGGATTTGTCTTACAATTTTACAGACCTCTTATACGAGTGCATGTTAACTTTTACTGTATGCAAGTTGAATAACAAATGGCTGACGATGACACATCTTATCAAAATTTAAAAGGTTGATCCCTACAATAACTCTGAAGTAAATTAACTTAATGAATATAAGTTAGTGTTGGCCTGTTTTATTCTAGGCCCTCATAATTGATAACTATTCGATTTCAAACTTTAATTTACGCCTCTGTAAAGGCCTACAGTTTGTACTACTACACTTTTAAAACAGTCTGTGAAAAGCGTCACTCTTTCCGGCAATATAACTCTTGGAGAGGAAGGGAGGTTGGTGCATATCAAAGTGAAGAGGTGATGAAAGCAAAGGCCACCGCCTGGATATGACGGATAACACTCAAAACACCCAACAATGTGACAGGGAAGTCGACCACACATCTCCAGGAATCATGACATTAACATCACAACTGGGCCTGGCGCCGATTCCTCACACCTATTTTATATCCACCACAGGACCGAATACAGTAGACAGAGCTGTTGGCCTTCAGTCCACTTCCCCATCAGAATTATGAGATATGGAAATATTTTATACACACGTTCGACTGACTCTTTCTGCTGCCAAATATGCATTTTATTGTTACTATTTAATAGAATATGCAATTCATTTACATATTCTCATTCTATTAACATTTTAAACTGTTGTTAGCCCAAATGTTAGCAACCTGCATAAGGCGGTCTACTGTTCTTTTGACATTTCCTTTCAAATATAATAATTTTTGCCTATTGATGTTTGTCTCATTGACACCATCGGCATGGAGCTGCCAGAAAGAAAGACTCAAGCGGAAACACAAAGTGCGTTGCGCAAAAGACTAATATCGCAAGACCAAGGCAATTGCATAAGATCATTTTGGCACACTGTTTAAGATCATGGTCTCACCTGTAGAAGATGCTTGTGCGTTTTTACTCATCCACTGGAATGAATTGCGCCTTTCTCTATCAGGAGAAAGTTGTGCAATGTTAACGTTCTCCGGCGGAGGCTGTAACACCACAGATCCTGGAGGATGCATATGGCTGTACTCAGATGAGCAGTAAGGAACTTGTGCAGGAGAGGAGTTGTTCATAGGTGTAGGAATAGTGTTTGGTGGTCCCAGACTATATGCACCCCAGTCTTCCCGCTGAGCGCTATAAGTGGGTGCCCAACTCCCCGAAGACTGTGCGTGCGTATCCATGTTTGGCACATGATGGTATCCAGTAAAGTCGGTGTACTGAGGTGTAGAAACAAAGTTCTGTGGAGGCAGATTGATGCTCGTTCTTCTTACTGGTCCTTGGTGATACATGCCGCTTTCTTTATCCAGAATGTATCCCACATACATGATTTGTACAAAAAAACGATGAAATTTAACGAAACAGTAAAGGGAATAATGTAGCCTATTTTAAGGCGACATTGTTTCCCTGAAACTGTTAAAAAACAATCCTTCTGCTCTTTTAGTCCAAATTGGTTCCCAGTGTAAAATACGACGTAGTTCCAGTCTGTCTCCAGCTTCACATTATGTGTCTCTGTTGACAAGATGGTAAAGATACTAAGGCCTTCTTGACGTCAGCCAACTCCTAAACTATTGGAGATTTGCATTCAAATGAGAGTGAGTGGTGCGGCAGGCCCAGCTGTCCCCTTGCGTCTGTCCCGCAGCGCGTCATCACCTGACAGTGGGCCTATCCAGAGCAGGAGTCCTCCACGCAATGAATAAATCAACACCACGGCCTATCAGCTGCACAGACCGGCAATAAACCGAGGCAACACGTCCACAAACGCACCAAGCCAAAAAAGGCCTGTGCGTAATTGCGCGCAGATATATTTTATAATATTGGAAATGTTAGAAGCATTCACTTACTAGAGGCAATTAATTTCCCTTTGCATTATAGAAGAATACAGACAGCAACTTATTTTTCACATAAGCTCAATAGTTGTAACTCTCCAAACTAAATCCAGAACATCCAACACATGTATCTATTTTGGGTTGAAAATCTGTTATTATGGGAATTCAACAGTTTCCAACCACGCTTCACACGTAAATCCTGTTTTATTTGTTGAGAGATTCACTTGCAAACTAGGTGCAAAGTATGAGAGGCTTTCTCTTCAAGCAAGCAGGACCTTTCATATTCCTTGTTCACACCTCAAGGTCGCACTTCACAGCTAATTCCGGTTACAAGGAAACTCCAACAACCCCCTCTGTGACAAACAGCGGCCCTCCACACATCAGTCACCACCGTCTCCTGAAATTACAGCGAAGTTATTTTTCTGTGTTCGTGCCTAATACGTGCCATGAATCTCTAGGAACTACAAGTTAACTGCCCGATTAAAATTGGAGTTTGAAAAAAAACGCGTTTGGACACAGTTCCTGTAAAGTTTATACTTTATATTGCCATTGCTCGATACAAACATGCGCAGGAAATTAAATGCATTTAGGCCCAATTCAGTTGATGAAACAACAAACTGAGCATGAATCTGAAAAGGCCTAACACGTTTACAACTCATTTCTCAAAGCACGTTTTCTCTAATTAATTTCAGGCGCAAGTCTGCGCTGTACTGTGCGCCTTTTGATCGTTATACACCATCTGCTTCTTGTTCTTGTTCTTGTTCTTCTCGTATTTTTTGTCATTTCTTGGTATGTTTGTGATTAATTTGACAGGTGTCTCAGGGCCTCTTTAGCAGGCTGCCTAATTGGCTTGTCTATAAGTCATAAATGCTGACTGATGTCTCTGAAGTATCTGTTTATTGACCACAAAATATTTATGAGACAGTTTCATCAAGTTGGCCGCTGACAGTCACTTCTCTGACTTGTACATAATTCAGCGTCCTGACTGTCGGTTAGCTGTCTGTTTAATGAAGATATCAAGTATGACATTTTCATTTGTTTTCCTGGCTTTTTGATGGCTTTAAAGTTTACAACTTGTCACAGTCACGTGGCCTACTATAAACACATTAAGATGTGTCTGTCAGAAAAGTATGAATGAAGGCCTTTCCTCTAATAAGTGACTGAAAACTGTTTTTTTCATTGTGATGTATGAGACTTAATGCAGATCCATGTTAGTGAGGAGAGGGTCAGGCCTTTTGAAAATAATTGACTTATTGAGTTGCTTCGTGGCTTTCACGCAGTGCATTTTATGTCTTGATTTTAAGACCTCATTTGGTAGTTTTCTTTCATAACTTCATAACGTAAGTTGCATCCACTTTAGACTAAGTTACTTCACTGCATTGTTCTGCATTGGCACTTAGGTTACTTTGTTCGGTCTTGTAGTTTCCACAGAGCAGATTATTCGCATTGATTGCTGCCCTCTTGTGGATTTCTGCAGAACAACAGCTGCTGGTGATTTGAAATCTGTCTGAACACTAACTAACTAACTAACTAACTAACTAACTAACTACATTAACTAGTATTGAGTATTCCCATTCTTTATACTTCTGCTCCACTACAGTTCAGAGGTAAATATTGTCCTTTTTAATCCTCGACATTTAGCTAATAATATTAGACACTAGTTACTTTATTATACGAAATATCATCAACAAATACACAAGCTAGTGTGGCAGGGTATGAAGCAATTCATCCACCTCTACAAACTGCAACATTAAAGTGATATACACATAAATTCACTTCAATAACATCATTCTGAAATGGCCCATTCTGCATAATGAGTATTTACTTTTGGTACTCGAGGAATGTTTTGATGCCAATATTACTCAACATAGACTATGGCAGTGTAACTTTTCTTTCACCACTGCTCACCACTCACTGGACTGTTGACCTCAAGAGGGCAGCCTCCACCAACAAAAACATTTCAAGATGTTCACCATATTGTTCACCACAGTCTCAGCACAACTATATTCATTATGCAGGCTAATTTACTCGGAATGACAGGAAGTTACTGTAACAATACGCTATGAGTTCCACATTTACAACCTACTGTTCCACTGATTTTAGGTTGTAGATCACAAACAGACAAACTATTCATTTTAAGATGATTTTTCTTTACTAGTTCTATGATTATGCCATTAGACAATAATGAATTGGCCTTTCATTGAACTTATTATAAATAAGTGGCGCATACAAATGAAAGAGAAACCACCTGAGTTTGCATCACTATCTTAATGACTTTCATTTTGACGTTCATTTTGGAAATGTGTGGAGAAGAGTAGGCGTAATCACCAGTCAGATGTTTCTTGCAACATCCTGATGAGCAACATCATAAGAGGAAGTTTGAGGTGAAATCATTTTATGCAACAAGTGATGCTATGCCATCAGGTGACATTTCTTGAGTGACTGGCTCTGTCAGACCTTTTGTTTGAGGAGATCTCACACCACCTGAACGCATGTACGCAGCTGTGATTCAGAAAATATGGCCATGTATCATCATGGCTGCTGTCTTTTAGCTCAGAGCAGTTCCAGTCACTGACACCATCATTACAGTCTGATGTTCAACAAGAACAGACTTGTTCAAAGATTAATGAAATAAAGTTTAAGTTGGTATAAGCTTGTATTCCTGACATTTATAGTTCATAACCTCAATAGGAAAGTCAGAGAGGCTTTCACGCATTTTCTGTTTGATTCGCTGCGTAAAGTCGTTACTGTGAGGTTCAATTTGTGTACTGTCTGATATTTGACCAACGTTTCTGTCGTACAGTCTTTTTTTTTAATTTGGTGTTTTACAATAAAATCACATGTTTGGTGCATTTGACTGAAACGCACAAAGTACTCTCATGAACAGACTGCATGTGGATTCACTAGATGGCGCAACTGAGTTAGTTATGAGCTGTTTCTGGTCTTCTCCTGGATGGATGGGTGAGTTCGTCTGTTTTTTCACCCTCAGAGGTCTGTGAAGTTGCACAGATGTACAGCTCAGTATATTGAGCTCTTACAAAGTGCTTTGTAAAAAGATTGACAAGATGACTGTGAGAGTATCCAGAATGTTTTGAAGACCTCATGCTGGGTTTTCTGGTTAAGACCCAACTGCACTGTAATACCAGTTAGACAGTCAGTCAAAATGTATAAAGCCTGAAAAAGCACAATCCCAGTCGTCTCTCTGGGCAGCAGTTACAAACTTTACATCAGACTGATAATCACAAGTAATCCCTGTTATGGAATTTGTTGTTGAAATTCATAAATATTTTTTTTATGAATTGCTTCTAACCCATTTTGTCTTAAAATGTCTGTTTAAAACTTAATTCCAACGTCCACATATGTGTATCTGTAAGTGTATATCTTACTGGTCTAGTAGGGCTGAGTCAACCTTTCATACAGAGTGATTTATGTTTCTGTCACAGCTGATGGAAGCAGCACAAACAGGGAGGACCCAAATCCAAAGCCAGAGACTTGAAGATACTTTTTATCAAACAAAAAGTCTAAAAGCAAACAGAACTCATAGCATCATGTAGCAACAAAGACCAACTGACAAGAGAAGCACAGAGACTAAATACTGAAGGAAAGGAGGGCGTTAACGAGGGACAGGTGGCAGCAGGGCTGAGGAGCAACAGGTGAAACTCATAAGGGCGGGGCCGACAATCACACAGGTCGGAAGTAGAACAAGACACGAGAAAAAGGACTTCCACTAGAATAACTCCAGAGGTCACATTTGCATACTTGCATACTTCACGTGACGATGGAGAGACGTGAACTCACTGTCTCACTCACTCAAATTTGTTATTGAAATACAAAGAAACAAACGTCCCTTGTTTCCCCAAGCTCAGCATAGCGTACATGTAGTAGGTCAGTGACAGTCAGCATAAGAATTCAGTTTGTTGCATAACTTCATTGATGTTGTTAAAGTGGCCACAGCGTTTCTCCGCAGGAAGGGAGGCAAAAACAGGACCATCTGCTACTATTTTTGGAGATACTGCCTGCATGGCTGAGACGCATGCACGATCCTTATTTTGTCATCTGTAATGTAAAACACATGTGAGGCAGGATACTGCAAACACAAGCCATGTTCGGGTGTTTTGATTGATTCTTTCAGGAGATGACAGAAGATGCAGGAAAGTTTGTGAAAAATGTTTCTGTTTGTGAGCTGTTATTATTTAGATTTTTAAGAGAGAGAGGATATTTTCTACATCCTGGGGGCACGGGTGTAGTAGAATATAACGTTTTTTAAACTTTCACTTTGACATTATTCTGTGGAAAAGGAGAGCATTTGAATCATTCGTTGCCTAGACATAAAGAAACACGAATAAACATTCACACAGGAAGTTCCCTTATATTGTGAAGGCTATTCTTAGGCATGCTAACGTGCTCAAAATAGCAATGCTAACATACTGATTCAAAGCAGATGAAAAGTCAAGGGATCAGCAAAGTCATTAAAATTCATCCTGACTGAGTGGAACAAGCACGTGTGGAACAAATTTCATGGCAATCCGTTTGTCTATTCAATAGTAGTTTAGACGTTTTCAAAATAAGCCACAAATGTCAAACTCATGGTGCAGAAGAGGAAAAGTCAGGAGGATCATCAAAGTCAGGAGGATTCATCCTCTGGGGCCCATGAAGACCTGTGCCAGATTTCACAGCAATCCATCCAACATTTGTTGAGATATTTCAATCTGGACCAAAGTTTTGAACCAACTGACAGATTTACAATCTTGTGCCTTAAAAAAAAGAACCAAAACTGAATAAACAAACTACCTTCATTCATAAATGATGCGTGGTAACCTAAGGCTTTGAATGCCATTGCAATTGTTTGCATAGAGGCACAGACAGGAGGTTCTGATGTCCCACAGTTGGACTCATCGAAAGGGATTTCAGTTCACTGAAAGCAACAACGGAGCTGCAGCATTTCACAGAAAATGACTTACACAAAAAAAAAATAA